CCCCCCACTTTTGTTCCCTGATCTCCTTCTTTCCCAATCCGGTCTGAGCGGGATGATGTCCTCACAAAATCTCCGATAGTAGAGTGACATTTACGTAAAAGCGTAATCAAAAACGGATATCGAAGACAGCTCTATTATGGCGTGCCAAGGACGCCCCGTGTGAAAAAGGGTAAATGCGCAAAACGTTATGTATCTGACAGTTCGCTTGACAAGACGTCATTTAAAGGTTCAGGCAGGCTCAGAATCTTGAATAAATGGGACAAAATTTGGCAAATGCTCCCCCCCCCCCTTTTTCCTCAATCCTTGAAAAAACCCAACCCATCCCTGTCATCTTACACTTTAAAACGAGATTTCAGTCTCATGATTATCCCCCCTCCCCCCACAAAATACGCAAGAGTTAAGTAGTAGTTTGGCTCCGCTGCCAAATAAGAATCACTTTCGAAAGTTATAGGCTAATTAGAACTGTCAGGCCCACTCTTTCTTAGATGGAAACGGTTTTAACTCATGTTCTTATTTCATACAAATTCGGTTCATGAACTACCCTGTAAAAATGCTAAAATATGGCACATTTCAAACTTTTTTTCCCGTCACGATTTTATCTCTCAAGAAATTAATTTCGAAGCGTGACGTAGCCGATGCAACGGGATTAGGTTTACAAAACGAAAAGCCAACGGATTTACTCGAAGGTTATGCAAATACTATATTATTATTACTTTAAAATGTAATCATATATTATGTGAAATGGTTTTTATTTTAAAAACAAACAAACTGAAAAACCTTACCAAAAACGGTTTCTGTAACTTTTTGCTGATTGCATTTGTTTAAAGCCAGCTCATCTTAAAAGATATTTGCAAAAAGAAGCCCTTTAGCTTTCCTCAAGATTATGTGAGGTACAAGACAAGACCCACATCATGCCGAAAAGAGAAAGTTAAACAAGTAGAACCTAGGATAAAAGCGCAACAGGACTCCTCTCAAAATGAGATTTCAGTTCGGAAAGGAACGAATACAAACACGTGAGGAAGAATGGAGTGCGGATGGATTCCATGTACACATGGGAACAAACAATATGCGAGCAAAACCGATTTAGTTCACACAAACTTGCTAACCTAATCATTCCCATCACATCGTCATCCGTCCCCGCCCACATACTGCTTTTTAAGGAGTAAGGCAATGATATTATTATCCCCCCCCCCCACACGAACAGGATCAGTACACAAGATCCTCTACTCTCAGAAGTAAAATAACAATGCATTTTGAGGTGATGACTGTGGTGGATCATCTGTGCCTTCTTTGCCTTCTTCCTTTTTCACTTTAACATGTAAACCTGCGCTCCCCTCTCATTTTGTCCTTTACCGAAATGATGTACATGCGTGAGTTATAATACTGAGTCTGAACAACAGTTGATGTTTCACATCCTCACCAGCACATCTAAGATATTAGGCAGGCTGCATTAAACTTTCTGTGAGAACTAACCCAGAATTTTGTAATCACATTACATAATGGGTTTACTGCCCTTTTCAACACTCCAAGCTAAGGGACTGGGTCTCCGATGCAACTGAGTCAAGCAGGAGACGAGACCTGAACTACATTTACGTTCAATAAGCGGAAATTCGAACTAGATTCGTTTGTATCATAACCCTGAATGACACCAACTAAACAAATGGTGCACCCACGCCAACCTGGGCCAACCCAGGCCTTGTGATATACTACAACTAAACAGAAGAGTGACTTACTCAATTAGTTGAATTTATATCGTTTGCATCCAAGTTCAAAGTGGGAAACCATTACAACTATAGACGCCTTCAGAAATAATCGTAGACCGCAAGGAGTGGGCCTGCAGTTTATTTATTATTAGAATATTGAAGTACGCACTTGCTGTTTTCTTTTTTAGAATATTATCTAAGAAGCTTAGAATTGTTTTTCAGCGACACCAAAGGACATCTTGTGGGTTCTGAGATGCCCGCTTAGTACCAGCGTGTCATCAATAGTCTGATTATCGAAATTCCCCTTTCGCTTCTGCAATTATTTAGTTTGACCTAGAAAAAATGTAGGTCAGGTTTCTAAAACGGAGAAAAGATGTTCTTAATTAAGAACAAGGCGACGAGTGATAAGGTTTCGATTTAGCCTGTGACTGCCCATTAATCCCGCGGCGGTAACTGGTGGGGGTACCTTGTGCTGATCAATTCAATTTAGTATACCGCGGCTGCCGATTCGGCTTTCTCATTTCCGGTCCGAATTCGAGAAGAGGAAAGAGCGAGGAGGGGACTGGTTCCCAGTTTCCTGACTCTTGTCGGCAAGATGGTAATCCAGCGTTAAACAAGGACACAGCAATTGATCTCAGACAGTCATGTTGAATACATGGAGAAATAAAAAGAAAAGTAATGACCATTGCAGTGCAAAGGGGTCGAAAGGGAGAACAAAAATGCAGTAACAAGGAAGTATGCTGCACATACGAAGTGTCAATCGTACAATGGCAATTTGATGTTCTGTCTTTTTGTCGGCGAGAATTTTATATATGACTAAGTTCACTAAGTGAAATTCTCCCCATGGCTAACAAAACGAAGAACACACACATCTTACTGATATTATTCAATATTTCCATATGTCCATTTGAATAATTGTGTAAGGAAGAATGAAGGACTTCTGTACAGAGATTTAAGAACAAAACAATTTCAGTGCAATTAGTAGTGCCAGAGGTGTCTCACTCAGAAGAACATAAAGTATTTCGCCAGTCTTAACTTAACCTCCCCCCCCCCTCCAATTTTTGTTGATGAAAATAGAATGAAACAATGTTCTCTGAATTTTGGTGTTCTGTGGAATTTGACGCCACCACGGTAAAACCATTACCTTGAAGAATGACAAAATATTGAAGTCAAAACAATTAACATTTGAAGTCGGTTCTATACAAACAAAAAATATTCTAAAAACTGATAAAAAGAAAACTTGAAATTATTTAATCACTTCTTACTTGCAATGTAAAAGAGTTCCTTTCAACTAAAAAATCTGACGTAGGCAAACTCTGCAGAAGAATAAATTCATTATTCAATACTGGGGTATATCGTTTTCGCAGGAATCGTTTGATACTAAAAATACTACTGCCCGTAAAGTGATGACCGACTCCCAGCTGTGATCGAAACAGTTTTGATCATTTGGGAAGCGGGTTTAGAGGATACTATAGTATCACAACGATCATTCGCTTACTATAAACTATAAAACGATGTAAACGTCTAACGACGTCACGATCCAACCATTCAATTCGGACAAATCGCATCGTGTGCACACCCTGTAAGCCGTCACCACCCTGATCTGACACACGTCTCGATGCTCGATAAGGAAATTCGAAAACGGAGGCAGCTCGTCTCGACAGGGCTTCTGGGCCACAATAGCCCAGTCTGAGACCCAGGTCCTAAGTCAATACACAGCCGGAACCAGGCGTCCCCACGACCAGGACACGTGAGCACTCTGGGAGATTCTGTCCATTTTACGGTGCTCTCGCAGAAACATCTGTTCGTCACACACCGGCCAGCTCAAGCGACGGAGGAATCCACAATGTTTGTTTTTATCGCACGCTTTAAATATCCATTTCATTCGGTTCGCTTCGAAATGCAAAGCTAGAAACAGGTCGGCTGATCGATTTAACTATTTTAGACGAAGAAAATATACACACAACACACACATAGCACATACTCACTTACACATACACCCAGGAACACATACATACACAAACATACACGAACACACTCATTCCCTCTCTCCTTGCATCCCCCTCTCTCGATCACACATTTATTCAGATAATCATACAATAAATATGCATATCGTGAAATATATATGGCATATATATATATATATATATATA